TTACTTTTCCAGTGGGGGCCTGAGCAACGGGAAGCATTTGAGACACTGAGATAGAAGTTGTGCGAGGATTCAATATCGACCCTTCTCGAGGGTGTAAATAATTTTGTGGTTTACTGTAATGCATCGATTTTGGGATTGGGTGCAGTACTTATGCAGAGGGGCCATGTGATCACGTATGCTTCGAGGCAATTGAAGCTTCATGAGGTAAATTATCCTACTCATAACTTGGAGCTGGGGGCAATGGTTTTCCCTCAAGATTTTGAGGCACTAATTGTATGGGGTTCGGTGTACCATTTACACAGACCACAAGAGTTTGAGATATTTGATGGATCAGCGAACCTGAACATGAGGCAACACAGATGGATTAATGTGGTGAAATATTATGACTGTGAGATCATGTATCATCCGGGTAAGGCCAATATAATGGTCGATGCCTTGGGTCGCAAGGCGACTAGCGCTCCTATCAGAGACCTATGTTTGAGGATGATCATCACTTCACCACTGTTGGACTTGATCAAAAAGGCATGAATTGAGCTGATAAAGGAAGAGAATCAAAAGAAGGATAAGATCAGGGGTCAAACTTCTACCTTTGTCACTGATAGTCGAGGTTTGTTGACTCAGTGTGGCATGGTGTGGGTTCCCGTTTCTAGTGGGGTTTGGCAAACATTATTGGAGGAAGCGTACAAGTCAAAGTTTTCGATCCATCTGGGAGCTACGAAAATGTACATGGATCTGAGACTTAGCTACTGGTGGCCCTTTATGAAGAAGGATATAGCTTGGTATGTAGAGCGGTGCTTGAATTGCCGGAAAGTCAAGGATAAACTACAGAGATCCTATGGCAAGATGCAGCACTTGGACATTCCCATGTGGAAATGGGAGCAGACGACTATGGATTTCATTATCAAGTTGCCATCGATGACACGTGGAGTTGATTAAATCTGGGTTATTATTGAGAAATTGACAAAGAGTGCTCGCTTCAACCCGATTCAGGAGAGTTCATTCGTCGAGAAGTTAGTCGAGATCTACATCAAGGAGGTAGTTGCACGACATAGGGTGCCGATTTCTGTTGTTTTTTACCGTGATATCCATTTTATTTCCAGGTTCTAGAGGAAGTTCCACGAGGATTTGGGTACCCGGTTACATTTCAGTATAGCTTACCACCCACAGACCAGTTGTTAGAGCGAGTAGATCATTCAGACTCTTGAGGATATGCTTAGGGCGTATGTTTCGGATTTTGGTGGAAGCTGGGATACCTACCTTCTTTTAGTTGAGTTCTCCTACAAAAAAAGTTATCACACCAGTATTAGTATGCCTCCCTTCGAGTTTCTCTACGGGAGGAAATGTCGAACCCTAATTTTCTGGGGTGAGGTTGGATAGTGAGTGATGGGGAGCACTAAGGTAGTGCTCAAGACTACAAAGTTTATCCAGAAGGTGTGTGGTAGACTGTGGACCGCACTGAGTAGACAGAAGATTTGTGCTGACCGGTGTCAAATAGATCTCGAGTTCTAGGTTGGGGATTTTGTGCTTTTGAAGGTGTCACCATGGAAGGGTATCATTCGGTTCCGGAAGCTTGGGAATTTGAGTCCCAGATATATTGGTCCATTCAGAGTGGTTGCTCGGGTGGGCAAAGTTACCTACCGGTTGAATCTTCCAGTGGAGCTTAGCCAGATCCACAACACCTTTCATGTTTCCCGATTTCGAAAGTGTTTAGCTGATGATTCCGTAGTGGTTTCGTTGGATAATATCCATATTGATTAGCCTCACAATTATGTGGAGTGATCGATTGTTATCCTTGATAGGAAGACGAAGACCTTGTGCAACAAGTTAGTGGACTTGGTTAAGGTGCATTGGCAACACATGAAGGATTCTGAATGGACTTCGGAACCCAATGAGGAGATGAGAGAGCATTACCCTGAGTTATTTGCAGCAGCGGATTTCGAGGATAAAATTTGATTCAAGTGTGGGAGAGTTGTAACATCCATATTTTAAAGTACTATTATTTAAAGCTTCCTTTATGATTAAATTTGAAATGTGGACTTTGACCTTACCACAACGTGGTATTTAGAGTGCCATGGCATGGTAGTGTCATCCTCACCACGGCGTGTTGATTTAATTACCAGGGTGTGGCGTCGCTTTCCGTACAAAACCCTAAGTTTTGGGCTTTGGCCCTATATAAAGGATATGATGGCTAGGGTTTCGACCACCCTCAACCCCCATTTCCTTAGAAGAGCTCTCAAGCAAACCCTAGCCTCTTACGATCATTTGGAACTCGTTTTTGGTGATTTGTAGTCTTTGGAAGGAGAATGAGGATCTTGTAGATCAAGGAATCATTACCTCCAGCTTTTGTGTATATTCTAGACCTTTGTAAGTCCCTCAAACCATCATCTTTATGTTTGTTTCCTTCTAGATCAAGGTTTTTGGATTTAGTTCTTCTTGATGGGTTCATATAACTGGTTATTTTTGATAAATTTGGCAACTTTATCATTCCTTGAGTCCCCGAGAGTTTCATATGTTCTCGATCTAAAATGGTTCACTTGTTTGATGCCATGCATGGGGTTTTGACCCCATTTTACCTTTTTTAAATAAGTTTGAAGGAGGACATGCATGCCCATAAAGTTACGAATTTTATGGTCATTTGTGATGCAAATAAGCTTTTTGGAAAGTATAAAGGAATGTCTTAAGGGATTAAGCTCTTAAGGAGGAAATGAATCTTCTAACAAAAAACCATGGTGTGCCCAAGGAGGGTCCACGGCGTGGTGGCTTGTTGCAACGCATCTTTTTTGTCCCAACGTGACCATGACGTGGCTTGATGATCGTCACGACATGGTGGAAGGTTTCTCACAACTGTTTTTTGTCTAACTGCCACAGCGCGGTCACTGGTTAGCCATGGTATGGTGGATGACTGTTGACCATTGACTGTTGAATTTAACCGTTGATCGTCGACTTTTTGACTAGGTTGACATGTGGTCAAATTGATAGCTTTATATGTTAAGATGAGGTTCGAATTGTGATTTGTATCTAGGTGGTGTGTAGTACCAGCCTTTACTTTCGTACGAGCCGAGGTGTAGTCTATCTTGATTTGCAAGGTGAGTTTTCTCATTATACTATGTATGACACTAGGTGTCGTGATATGTTAGATTGTCTGTGTAACTTTTGAATGAAGGAGTGTGGTAGGAGCAGAACACTTGTATGAAAGACTATGGTTGGATCACAACACTTGCAGGGAAGACCATGGTGGGAGCATGAAGGGAAAGACTGCAGCGGGGTTGTAGCAACGGAAGTGACTATAAGACTATGGTGGGATCATATCATGTACACGGGTTGAAATACACCCCATGGAAGGGCCCATTGTTATGTATGGTATGTGGTATTTTGGGGAACTCATTAAGCTTTGTGCTTAAGGTTTAAGTTTAAAAGTTTCAAATACCAAGGAAAAGGAGTCAACTTGATTGCGTTGCATCCACCGATGATTTTCGCACTACAAGGTTTTGGGATTACTCTGATATTTTTATGAAAACAATATACTCATGTTTTGGATTACTTGACTTGTGAAGTTTATGGAATGGCTTTGTTTACTTTAACAATTGGAAATTTTTCTTGGTATTTTTGGGATGTTACATGTTGACACTCAAAAGAAGTTGGATCATACTAGCACTCCCATTAAGGATCGAACTCTTTACCGTAGCGTTGCAGGTGGGCTGTAGTAGTTGACTTTTACTCGACATGATATTGAATTTGCCATGCAGTAGATTTGTCTTTACATGCATAACCCTCGGAAGCCACACCTACATGCGTTCAAGTGCATTCTTTGATATATTCAGGGTACTCTTGATCACGGCTTGCAAATTCATTCCTTCTCCACTACGAGCCTTACTACTTACTCTGATGTCGATTGGGTGGGTGTGCCCCGCTTCTCATCACTCCACTATGCCAAGCTACTGTCTCTCGGTCAAGCGTGGAAGCTGAACACCGTGGAAGCTGAACACATGGGTGTGGCCAATATTTAGGCCATGTATTTAGGCCATGTATTTATTTAGCCCATGCATTGTATTGTTATAAGTCCATTAGGTCAAACCCCTTGTATTGATGTATTCTGTATTTATACGTCTTTGAACCAAGTCATTGAACTCCAGTACTTCTTGCTCCACTCTTTTCCTCCTTTTCCAGTAATAATTAACTTTACACTAATTAAAAAAAAAAAAAAATTGTCCTTTCATTAATGTGAATGGTCTAACGATGCATGGCCGTTTGTTTTTTTTAATCTATAACTTTTTAAAATGACTTATAAACACACTATTGAGTCAAATTCGATGACTATATATTTAAATTAAGTAAAGTATCATTATTATTCTGGTGTAGTGCTTAAACTAATGGATAGTAGGTCAACAAGAAAACAACATACAAGTGAAATATTAAACTACGGCGATGGGATTCTGCGGTGACGAGGAATACGTAAAGTAATCAAATAAAATCAAAAATGTTAACCAAAATCCATATATACAAGGAATAACTTAATTAAAGAGAAACTGAGGTAAACTTCAAGTCCAATTTTTTATAATTCATTCTTAAACGTACGTAGAATATATATATATATATATATATATATATATATATATATATATATATATATATATATATATATATATATATATATATATATATATATATATATATATATACACTTGATTACGAACAAAAGAGTACGTACAAAGAATATATGCACCAAGAAAGAGAGTCAACCACGATGAGAAGAGAGTAAATGCTATTAAAGAAGTTTTAACACTTTCCAACAAACATTGTTGCCAATAAGTCAAAAAGCCCGGTGGCACTACGTACGCAAATACACACAATCCACTACTAGCAACAAACCAAAGTGGAGTAACTGATTCCTTCATTAAATTCAACAAATGAGTTCTTCGGTCACCACTATTTAATCGCTTCAAATCTCAGCAACCTTCATCACAATCCTGTAGATTTTGAGACAGACACAGGCAGAGAAAATGATGCAGAAAGGTTCAAGCTTTTCTTTGGAAAGTTCAGTCAGTGGCTATTTCGATGATGATGGCAGAATCAGAAGAACAGGTATGAGTTCACTCATGCATGTGTGAATTGTGATACAGAAAACCCATTCTCGTGTTCTTTTTAGGGTTTTTTTGTGAAATTTTGACGTGAAGTGTTGGGTTATTTTTTGAATTAGGGACGTTGATGAGTGCAAGCGCACATATCATAACAGCGGTGATAGGATCAGGAGTGTTGTCATTGGCATGGTGTTTTGCGCAGTTGGGTTGGATTACGGGGACTCTTTTGCTTGCAGTCTTTGCGATCATCACTTGGTTCACTTGCCTCTTGCTTACAGACTGCTACAGGTATCCTGATCCTGTCATTGGCACCAGAAACTACAGTTACATGCAAGCGGTCAAAGTTAATCTTGGTACGTAAATTTATGCTGCTCATTCTGAATCAACATTAATTTATGCATGTTCTTGATCATGGTGTAACCCATGCATTACTAGCCACCTCACCCTGAGGTGTCATCCTGCATTAAATGGCAATTAATTATGGCTACTATCTTCGTTTGTCCAAATTGTAATGCCATTTCACTTTCTCTTCCTACATTTGTTAATGTTATTTAACATAACGATGATGTGAATTTACGTCTTTATCTTTAATTTGTCCATACGAAATAGGCATTGTTCTAGCCTATTCCACCTTTTCTAGCTCTTTAGTCCCATTGTATCAATGTCATTTCACTTTTTTTTTGCTAGGACTAGACCAGACCAAACTAGATGGTATAACCTTTCTAAGGCTATTTACCATGATGATGATAAAGAAGGTCAAACACACTAGAGGAAAAATGCAACTCCTATATCTCGTTTGTCCCATTCCAACAAATGTCAAACACACTATATGGTTGTTGTGTTCTGTTTTATCCAGCATGGCAAACAGTCTTTTATTTGGGAGTTTGAATCATTTTATATATAGTTTTCTTTTTTAGGCATATATGTGTATGGACTATCTCACTATAGATGGTTTGCTAAAAAATCTTTTATAATATTGTGGGAACAGGAGGGTTTAGTTACAAACTATGTGGAATATCTCAATATGGGACTCAAGTTGGTGCAACCATCGGGTATACCATTACTTCGGCCATTAGTATGGCGTAAGTGCTAAAAAGACTTGAAAACTTATTGTTTCATTTTTGTTTATGTGTGTGAATATGCACCTAATTTTGGTTCTTGTGTTTAACCAGTGCGGTTAAAAGATCAAACTGTTTTCATAAGCACGGGCACAACAACGGTTGTCACACATTGAACAATTCCTATCTACTGATCTTTGCATCTATAGAGATTGTTTTGAGCCAAATCCCGAAGTTTCACAAGCTCACATTCGTATCCATTTTTGCAACCATCATGTCTTTCGGTTATTCTAGCATTGGCATTGCTCTCTCAATTGCCAAAATCGCAGGTAATTAAATTAATCATTCAAAAAGGATATGAAATATATTGCACGTTTTCATAACAAGACAATCATAACATTATATGTACTTTGTTTGACATGCATTAATTGGACTCGGGACAGATGTCAATGAAACAAAAACTACATCTTTTTGTTACTCTAAAAAAGGTGGGACACATGTCATTCTTGGTTTCTTGGTTTCTTGTCTATGCAAAAGATATGAATGGCCTCATCTTTGCAAATAACCCTACAAAGCTTGCATGTAACATGTATTATGTGTACATGATACACCTATTTTCATACAAAGCTTCGGGTAATTAACTTTTGTTGAGATTTTTTTAATTCCTTTTCGAATGGTTTTTTGGGGGTCTGAAGGAGGCACACACTCGAAAACAAGCCTAACAGGTGTACCAGTTGGTCCAGACATGTCAGGCATGGAGAAAATGTGGAACATCTTCTCTGCCATTGGAGATATTGCTTTTGCATATTCTTTCAGTCTAGTCCTCCTTGAAATACAGGTAATTAAATCTTCTTTATATATACATTTACTCTCTTTATAGATATACACAAACTTATGTACGTATATCTGATATTGAATACTTATGCAAATGTAGGACACATTGAAATCAAGTCCTTCAGAAATCAAAGTCATGAAAAAGGCTTCCACCATTGGAGTTGCAGTATCCACCTTATTGTACACCCTATGTGGAGTACTTGGGTATGCAGCATTTGGCAATGATGCATCTGGGAATTACTTGACAGGATTCGGTTTCTATGAACCATTTTGGCTCATTGACATTGGAAACATGTGTGTTGTTCTTCATCTTCTTGGAGCATACCAGGTACAATATACAAATATATCATATTTCATCTCTTATTATCTAACCTAATCAACCTGTGTTCATCTCTTCTTTAGGTGCTTATTCAGCCATTTTTTGCATTTGTGGAGGATTGGAGTCATAAGAAGTGGCCAGAAAGCAGATTTATAGAGAAGGAATATTACATCGGTAGCTACAGTTTGAATCTGTTCAGGTTAACATGGAGGACATTGTATGTGATACTAGTAACAATAGTCGCCATGATCTTCCCTTTCTTCAACAGTTTTCTGGGACTTATTGGTGCTGCAACATACTGGCCATTGACTGTGTATTTTCCAATAGAAATGTACATTTCACAGGCAAAGATTCAAAGGGGTTCTTTTACTTGGATATGGTTGAAGATATTGAGCTTGACATGCTTGATTGTTGCACTTCTTGCTGCAGCTGGATCTATTCGAGGTCTTGCTGTGTCTGTTTCTGATTTTGAGCTCTTTCATTCAATGTCTTAGAGCTCTGTGTTTAGTTTTACTCTGTGACTGTTTAGTGAATCTACAAGGTAAAGTAGAATTGTATTATTAATTGTAAAACTGTGAAGATACAGTTGTGTTGGCATTTTGTCAAACAGGTTGTGTGCACGGATCAACAAGACAATGAGAGGGATAGATAACAGAACTAACAATCAAAAAGATTATGTTTCCCCGGTTCCATAATGAATTTTGAGTTTCAAGTTAGATAAAAAAAAATTAAATATATTACCACGAAATCTCATACGTGTATCGGATGTTAAAATGTAATAATAAAACTTAATCATCTTAATTCGTTATAAGATAATCCAAGCATCGTTCTAATCAAGAACATAATCTAAACACGAAATTGAGAATAGAAAAACCTTCATTGGATCATTTTAACTTGGGGTCATTAGTACGCATTTACCGCCGCCAACGCGAAGCCATTCTTGTGCTTTTTCGTTTGTGAACGGAAATATCGGAGGTTTGGGCACTTGGACTGGTTACGAAACAAAAGTGACATCATTTTGTCCTTGCTTCGTGTACACAAAAATGGCATCCACTTCAATATTAAGAATCTTATAACTGAAAAAGTTGCCGTTCCTCCATGGCGGATTCAATTAGCAACTAGTGGGGTGCATGGCCCCCACATTAAAAAAAAATTCCTATCAGTAATATATATATATATATCTAAAAAAATGATATTATTATTTATTAATGGTTGGTCCCTCTTCAAAATACTTACTCCCCACTGTTATCAAACATTTCTTTCTCTCTAGTGTGACTCTTTTCTCCCGTGTTTTTTTACCCAGCTACCAATTGCAAGAACTCATGAAGGAAATAATAGAAACCATTAATACAAATAATTAAACAAATGAAGGAATTGCTCGAACCTAACACACACCATCGTCGCTGGAAAGTTTGTACGTTTATTCCATTGAAATCATAATATTTATGAACTTATTCCATTGATTGCTTGTGATTCAGAAATCATAATATGTATAAACTGATTCATAAATCATAATGTTATTTTATACTCTGAAATATGATTTTTCTGATTTTTGGTGGGATGAGTTGATACAAAATGTTATCTGGAATGTTATACTGTGAAATATGATTTGTCTCTAATTTGTGTAATGGTTTTCTAATTTGTGTAATGGTTTTGTATGAACCATTTCAAAATGTTATTATGAATGTTATTTAAAGAGGAGAATAATGTTGGAATAATCCAGAAATTTCAAACTTTAAATATCTGTTTTTGCATTTGATTCATTATCGTTTTCCTGCAAATTTATTAGTAGATAATAATAGTTAGTTAGCTTTTCTTTTCTAGTATAAATAGGAGTTGTTTTTTATATTTACCATGAATTTTTTGAGTTGAATAAAATCCCAACAGAAAAAGTTCCCAAAATACCCTTCCATTATGTTCCTCATCCCATGTTTGTTCTTGTTTCTTGTGTTTGGTGTTTCTCCAGTAGAAACTCGGATTTTAAGATTAACAAATAATGTAACACCCCGTTTATTAAATGAATAAGTAGATAAAGTTGATGAATGGATAGTAGCCATAAAATCAATAATTTTATAATAAGAGTTGGTCTCGAGGAGTTAATTGTTACAATATTAGAAGTTGGGGGTTAAAAGTGTGAGTTTCAGATTATTTTTGTAAGTATTTAAGAAGGCAGGGACTAATTGGTAATTTATGGGACTTCTTTTGAAAAGATTTTTGAGGTTAAGGGGCTAATTGGTAATTCAGGAGTTTATTTGTATAGAATTTCAGAAGATGGGGTTAAAAAGGTAAAGTAGGAACTTAGATTGAAAGGAATGTGAGAAGGAGGGGCTGGAATTGTAATTATGGGAAAGTTTCTATTTGGTTGGGGTATATAACTCATGAAACCCTAACCCTAGGGCATGTGTTACAGCCGCCAACCCCCCCTAAGCATTGGTCGCCATTTCCCCACCCTCCTCCTTCACCTCCGATAGCCGCCATCACCGGAGGACGTCCAGCCGCCACCATCTCCGCTGTAGCCAGAAGTCGGGTTGCCGAGAAGAGTCGCTTAGACCGACAATGTGTTCGGGAAGGACCAGTCGAGAGGCTGATGTCGGGCCTCGACGTTGTAACCTCCACCAGTCGACTGCTTCATCAAGTGCGTTGCCGCCATCTTGTTTTTCGATCTCCGGTCGCCGCTCCGTCCCACGACAGATAGCCGCCGCGCCACCTTCCTTTATCAGTGCTCCGGTCGAAGTCCTCCTCCCCAAGGCGGATCAGCTGCGTTTGCGTCGTGTGTTGATAGGCCGAGACTCAAGGAAACTCGCCACCACCGTGAGGTGGTGGCTGTTGATGTATGGGTGTGTAACCTAGTAGACCAGTTGTATTTGATTTTCATAAGGTTGTGGTGGTTTGTTTAGCCGGAAAATGAGAACAGCCACCGCCGGCCACCATGGTGTGGTTGTGTGTGTGTGTGTGTGTTTATGTTTGGATTAAACATTGTAATTGTAATTAGCTTTGGTTAATAATAAAAATAATGATAACCACCACCGTAAGGTGGTGGCCGCCGCCGTGAGCCGCCATTGACCACCACTACCCGAGGTGGTAGTGGGTCGTGCCCCACAAGCAAAACCCTAATGGACCTAGCCAAAACCCTAATGGGCTTAAAGATTAATTTTGGGCTTATTGGGCCATGTTTGAGTGGAAAACCTAATTAGGGTTTAGAAAACCCTAATTGTGAGTAATTGGGCCTTAGACTTATTGGACCCACTTTTGGGCTATTGAGATTGGATTGTGTATTAAGCCCAATTTCTCCATATCATTGATCTAGTAGAGTAAAGGACTTAATGGATTAAGTCCTTAATGGGTTAAGTAAGAAACACTTAACCCTAATCGTCATTTTATGTGAAACCCTAGTTTCACTTGGGTCTTGAGTTGGGCCTTTCGATTGGGTTTTGGTAATTGGTTTATTAATGGGCCATCCAAGAATAACCAAATGGACTAGAGTAATTAGTTGGGCTTTAGGGTAAGGCCCATATGAAGGATTGGGCTCAATTTGGAAAATTAGGCCATTGATGGGCCATAGTTTGGGCCTAGATGGTTGTATGATATTGGTCCCTTAGAATGAGACATGTTGGACTGGACTGAACAATTGGGCCTTAAGGGAAGTCCATGTAGAGGTTTGGGCCCAATTTGGAAAGTTGGGCCATATGTTGGGCTTTGATCCCTAGTTGACTTTGGGCCTATGGATTGGGCCTTGGGCTTGGGTAAGCCAAGCTAGGGGTAATGTAGTAATTATCCAAAGTATGTATTTATAGTTATGTAGTGGAACCCAATTATTAATTGGGTGTTATTTTGATATTGACAGATCGGGAATCTGTCATCGAGCAGCTATGGTTTTATCAGCGGGACTTCAGCAGTGTGAGGTGAGTTTCCTTCCAGTAGGAACGAGTCTACGGCCACAATGCCGACCCGTTTAGATGTTAGTATTTCCGGACTTTGGTCTGATGCCGAGGTTAGCCCGATGCAGTTTATATGTTTCCAGACTTCGGTTCGATGTCGGGGTGGTCCCGAGAAGTAGTGTGTATGCTTGATGTCTTTGTGATTCATGCATGTTTATGTTATATGCCTTGTGTTCCGGACTTTGGTCCGATATAGTAGTTATATGTTTATGTTACAAGTTTATGTATATGATATGTTCAGTTATTCCGGAATCCGGTCTGATACAGTGGGCAAGGCCCAAGTTAGTCCGGGTTGCGGTCCAATGTAGTATGTAGTATATGTGTTTATGTTATATGTTATGATTATGTTATGCTATTTTCAGTTAGTTCCGGACTTCCGTCCGATGCAGTGGGCAAGGCCCTAGTTAGTTCCGGACTTCGGTCTGATGCAGTGGGCATGGCCCTAGTCAGTTCCGGACTTCGGTCCGATGCAGTGGGCAAGGCCCTAGTTAGTTCCGGACTTCGGTCCGATGCAGTGGGCATGACCCTAGTCAGTTCCGGACTTCGGTCCGATGCAGTGGGCAAGGCCCTAGTTAGTTCCGGACTTCGGTCCGATGCAGTGGGCATGGCCCTAGTTAGTTCCGGACTTCGGTCCGATGCAGTGGGCAAGGCCCAAGTCAGTTCCGGACTTTGGTCCGATGCAGTGGGCAAGGCCCAGTATGTGCTTTATATGTTATTGTATGGTATGTGGTAGTTTGGGGGAGCTCACTAAGCTTCGTGCTTACAGTTTTAGTTTTGGTTTCTGGTACTCAGTTTCCAAAAGAGGAGCTCGGGAAGATTGCAGTGCACACACCATCTGTTCAGCCTGGGATGTTTATACTCTGATATTTTGACAATTGTTATGATATTTTGAGATACACTGTTTATGATTTTTATATGATGTTCGATGACTATGGTTTTATTATTAAAGTAAAACGAATTTTTTAGACTGTATTTTTGGGATGTTACAAATAACATACAGTTAACAGAATAACATGGACAAAACGGTGAAGCCAACGGTCAATGTGCACCCCACTTGACTTCCCGGCTGGATCCGCCACTGCCTCCATGTAAAGAAGTTCATCACCCTGTTTGATTCCTAGTAACAAATTTATATATGTTAGGGTTTGGGAGCAATAGTGCCATTTCTGAAATCCATAGGTTTTTCAAGGGTAACTTGATCATTTTCGGAATCTGATATTAGGACTTTGTCATATGAAATCCAAATTATGTGCATAATCTTGAGTTCTACTTACGGAGGAGAGAAATGGGAAGATACGGAGGGAAAGTGAGGGGTGTCGAAGCAAAATCGTGTTCCGAGTTTCATTAATAGAAGGAAAGTTAGGTGAGGGAAAGGATTTTGGAGCCACATTTTCCTTTCAAATTTTCCTCCTAAATTGGGCGGATTTGAGAATAAAGTGAAGGGAAGGAAAATTTTAAGTTTTATTTTCTTTTTCCTCCTAACTCGGGAACACAAAAACTTAAAATTTTTCTTTCATTTCCTTTGAATTCATAAACACAGAATAATGAATATTTTC